AAAGAAAGAAAGAAAGAAAGAAAGAAAGAAAGAAAGAAAGAAAGAAAGAAAGAAGAAAGAAAATAAAAAAAAAAAAGAAACAGACCCTCTTAAATGCAAATCTGAACCCATTGATCTGGCTAAATGAAAACAGCTCCACAGTCTATTTGAAATAAAGTCTAACTCTCCATACGTAGATTTTTAGTCATCAGTACTGTGGAAAGAAAATGGATATTTATTCTTTATGAATCTCAAGCTCATTCATTCATTCATTCAGCAAATATTTACTAAGAGCTTAATGTCTTCAATGTCAGAGAAACACAGGTTAAAAAAGTATGTTGTCTGCCTTTAAGGAGTCACATTCTGGTGAGTTACACAGATGATCATGCAAGTGTTCATAGGGTAGGAACATAAGTTCCAAATGTCCAGGACAATTCTCTAAAAGCATTTGAATGAATAACCGGATGAGTTGGGCCAATCCTAACTGATTAACTGTTTATTCCTATGAGACCTGGACAGCCAGAGATGGATGAGGTTTTGTGAGGCCCTAAGCTTGCACAATTTGGGAAAGCTACTTTAAGAAAATGAATACAAAAATCTTGCCTTCACATTTTACAAAATCAGGAGACTATGTGAGCATGTCCCAGGGGACGTGGAAGGGACCCATGCAAGAAAGGGGCTCTGAAGCTAAAGTTCCATTAGCTTCATGTAAAATCTGTCTCAGCCTCAGTCCATTTGATAAAGTATTAGGTCTTTAAGGACTATTTTAGATTGGGTAGTGGTAAATCTAGGCTCTACAATCACACAGACAGACCTATGTTTGATTTAACCTCTACCAGATACTTCTGTATATTCTGGGAAAAGTTATTTAAATTTCCTAAGCTTCATTTTCCTCCATTAGTAGACCTACTTCATATGGTAGTTGCAAAGATTAAAATGCATAAGCATAGGGGCTCCTGGGTGGTTCAGTTGGTTAAGTGTCCAACTTGAGCTCAGGTCATAATCCCATGGTTTGTGTGTTGGAGACCCGCTTTGGGCTCTGTGCTAACAGCTCAGAGCCTGGAGCCTGCTTTAGATTCCATTATCTGCCTCTCCCCTACTCACTCTCTCTCTCTCTCTCAAAAATAAATATTAAAACAACTTTAAAAAAATAAAAAATAAAGTACATAATCATGTAAAACATTTTAGAATAGCTCATAATTAGTGCTTAACAAGTGTTACTATTATTAGCTATTATTAAAATCTGAAGTATCTGAACTCTGCCCCTCTACTTGTCTTCAAAACTCACAATTCTTGGTTCCTTGCAACATGAAATCCCATGGAGCATCTGTAAGGAAACAAAATCTAGAAATTCCAAATATGGAACCATGGCGAATTTCCTGGTGAGGAATGGCAGCTGGATCCCTGCTCCCCCACCTGAGGTTCCACTCCGGGTTGATTACTTTGCCATGATTCTAGCTGGCTGACAAGGAATTGTTCCTCTTTGCTGAGACCAAACTGGATTGTGGAAGAAAAAACAAAGAGTAAATTATAGAAGATATTTTTTTAAAAAAAAGGAATAAATCAAAACAAAGTGTATCCAAGGTAAAGTTGGCTTTCTCAAAGATATCTCCCTATACCACACGAAGCCTTAGGAAAAGAAATTTTGCTTAGATTCCTTCTAGCTTCCAACTGCCCTCATCATGGTATATCCCATAGACGAGCGCC